ACTATGTAACTTCTCTTTCTGATGAGTACTATGTAACTTCTCTTTCTCATAAGTACTAACCAGTACTCCTCACCTGGATCCTACAAATATGTAAGAGTGACATCTGTCATCATTCTAAGGTGGAGAGGATACTAGTTCAGGCTACATGGGAAAGTGCTAGGAAATGCTAAAATATAAGCATTGTCTTACCCAAACACATCCCCATGAAGTTACTAGCTGAACACCAGATTTTAAGAAGATGTCCCGCCCAGCATCTGTGTGTGCTGTTCTAGAAGCTTGTCTTCTATTTCCCAAGCTCCCTCGAGGTTTTTCAGTGGCTTCTATCACCATAGAAAAGGGAGTGTGATTGTTCTTGTTGGTTTTTGTTTTGTTTTGTTTTGTTTTGTTTTGTTTTGTTTTGTTTTTCAAGACAGGGTTTCTCTGAGTAGCCATTGCTGTCCCAGAACTGGCTTTATATAAACCAGGCTGGCCTTGAACTCAGAGATCCATCTGCTTTTCCCTCCTGAATGCTTGGACTAAAGGCCTGTGCCAACATCACGCAGCTGAATTTGACTTGTCCTCTTCCTTCCAAAAGTCAAAGTATTTCATGAGCACCTAGATATCAGTAGATAAAAACTAGACCAAACACAAAGTTTATAATAACCAAAGCTCAGGCAGAAATAAACTATCTCTTTCCCCGATTTAATTAAAATACTCAGAAAGATGTATGCCGTTATTAACCAATCCTCAGGAACAAACTAAAAGGTACTCTCTCTACACACACATAGACACGTTTTATTATGTTTTATTATTCTAGTCATGCAAATATAAGGACCATCTAAGCCTGGAGAGATGGTTCAGCAGTTAAGAGCACTGACTTCTCTTTCAGTGCCTGGCACCCATATAGCATCGCAAACTGTTCAACTCCAATTCCAGGGAATCTGACACCCTCACACAGACATATGTGCAGACAAAACAACAATGCACATAAATAAAAATAATTTTTAAATGTTTTTATGTTTTCAGACACACACATACACACACAAGTACTTGTTGCCCATAACTCCAGCTCCAAGAGTTCTGACCCCTAGTGTGGTCACATACGCACACAGACACATACACACATATAAATAAAAGATAAACATCAAAGCTCTAAAATATATAAGGATAATCTGCAAGCATAGGTGAGGTGAATGAAACAGACTGACTTGCAATGCTTATTTATTTCCTGTATTTTCTTTACAATAATGAGGACAAATCAGAGAGTGTGAATTTTCGCTGAAGGGCAGCTGTCAATCATAGCTGGGTTCAGACCTCAGAAAAGCTGGATTCGGCAATGGCTTACTACCAGATGAGAGCTGAGCTGAAGAGACCATGTGACATTAAAAAATGCCTAGAGACCCTAGACGAAGTCCATTAAACTTGCATCCTACAAACAAATTAAAGCTATCTCACAGAAGCAGCAGGCTCCAACACTGTCAATATTCAGGGTGCAGCTAATCACCAATATGTGGTCATGGGGAGCTGCATATTAACTGGACCCAAGGTCATGTTCTCTGTTTTGAACTCTGAGCAATAATTCTTTAAAGTGTTAAAGAAATACATATAGCCTTTCTGTTATTAACATGAATGCAAATCCCCTCCACCCCACACCAAGATTCACTAATGATTAGCACAATGCTGTGTCATCTAATAACAGAGCATGATTTGGAACAAATAAAAAAGTGGAATAAAGCATAAAATAAAAATGGCAGTGGCCAGCTCTCATTTGGATCCCTCAGTCAATTTTATCACACGCCTAAGTTAGATTCAATTGTTGGATCTTTCTTCAAATACTTAAAAAAAACATACGTGAGAGTCACCCTTCGCCATAATGTTTAAGACCCCGTCGATTACTGTGAAAAAAGAAATAATGATTACTTGACAAAAATTAACTTTGTCCACTTATTTGTTTTCTTAAGCATCATAAATTAGAAATCTGCTTTGTATCTCTAACTGGATGTGTTTTCTCCTTCAGGTGCCCAGGAAGGAAGGAGGTTTGAGAGGTACAGGGGCAAATGTACAGGTAATCAACAACAGTCTGTGGAGAGGTACAGGGGCAAATGTACAGGTAATCAACAACAGTCTGTGGAGAGGTACAGGGGCAAATGCACAGGTAATCAACAACAGTCTGTGGAGAGGTACAGGGGCAAATGCACAGGTAACCGAGGACAGTCTGTGGAAGGAAAGCAGGACAAGGAATAAGGTTGGTGGGCAAGACTTACAAAGTGTTGAGTGACCAAATGCATGTAGCTCCGGCCCAGCAGCATACTCTGGGGTACAAGGCAGTCTAAATAGAGCATTTCCATGGTTGAAAACCTGTACCATGTTAGCTACTAGACACTTACTTTGCATAATGGTGAATTAGAAATGGGAAAGATGTGTAGGGTGGCAAATCATTTGAAAGATCCTTTCAGTCCATTAAGTATGTCAGGTCCTGTGTTAGATGCTGGGGTTGGGGGAGGGGGAGGGGGAGGGACTGAACAAACAATCTGTCTCTGTCTTCCTGGAAGACATATCAACTTGAATTCCACAAAAGAGCATAGCAAACTGAGTTACGATGAGTCACACCTACACATGAACCTGAAAACACTAAATCTTGAGTTATCTGATTGTAAAGGAAGATTGGGGCTGGGGAAGCATTTGTCTGCCATAGTGGAGGCCCTGAGTTCCATCCCCAGTACCACACACACAAAAACACAGGGGGCTTTGAAAATGCATCTAGCCCTATCAAATGATGTTGTGGCTATGAAATGAATGTGTGTGCGTTCGTGTGTGTGTGTGTGTGTGTGTGTGTGTGTGTGTGTGTGTGAATGTCCTTGAAACCAATCATTCAAAGGGTTAAATGAGGCAGGATGCTTGACATTTGGGCTGCTTCCTTATCAGTTTTTCAAACAAGCTGCCTGCCCACCTCAACATCAGATCTGCAGTAGTGACTGACTGAGGTCCTAGGTGAAAAGCTGCCACAGGCCGCCTTCTGCTATGTGCACAGGGAGAGCGAGTGGGAGCTCTAAAGCAAAACAAAGCTCCAGCTTTCTGAGAAACTCACCTTACCCATTACCCTAAACTTGAAACTTGAGTATAGTCCTCCCTCTCTCTCTCTCTCTCTTTTTCAAACACACACACACATGTTCACCACATACATCATCATATACAAACACATCACACACACCAAACACACACATATACAAGCATACACACAGCACACCACACCAAAACACACACACACACACATACACACACACACACACACACACAACTTTACAAGGCTTTTTTTTTTGTCTTTGGAAACCATAGTATGAATACTATGTAGTAAATACATAGCACAAACCACAGGGCAACCCTTTGGCAGGCCTGGTGGGAAAAAAAGCTATCTACACCAGATCTAGACCTTTTTTTTTTTTTTAAATGTAGACATAGGCAATCTGAAACACCCAGGATGCTTTTGCATTGGTTTTGGTTTTAATTTTGGTTTTGTTTGTCTGTTGGTTTGTTGGTTGGTTGAGTGTTTTGATCCAGATTGGCCTGAAACTTCCAATCGTTCTGCTTCAGAGAATTCATATCACCTCTGTCCTGTTTCTTTAAACTATAATAAATCTGGTTTGCTTTATCTTAAAGTGTAAATGTGTTCTCTGACGGTGGATGATTTCATTCTCATTCAAATGCATTCAGAAATTCCAAATATTTCATCCAGAACTTAAAAACTTAATACAACTTTAAAAGAAAAAATATTCGACATCAATACCTACAGAAGAAGGTTTTCATAATATATAAAAGTGAAAAGGATTATAGATTGAGCCCTTGTGTACCCAAAGCCTATCCTCAACAACTATCCACCAATGGCAAAAATCCTTGCTTCACGCATAAGCCATGATCTCCCAATGCCTACACAGTCATTTTGGAACATTTTCTAAATGTTCCATAACATAGTATGTCATGGCAAGGGATTTTGGATGTATCTCTAAGTGATTGGGATTCCCTTAGATGTTAAATACCACACTCAGTGAGATGCAGTCAGAATATTCAAACATTTTTCCTAATACCACTCTCGTGATGGCGACAACCTTTTAAAAATGTAGTGACAGACCTGGGTTTAGAATAATGACTAAAATTATTTTAAGTAAGTCTCAGGGAGACTCAATCTTTGTAGTGTGACCAGGGACTAGAGGTACAGTCGGTGTACTTGACAGAGTGTTTGCCTGACTCGTTCAGTCCTAAGCACCACACCACATAAATGGGGCATAGTGATGCATGTCTGAACCCCTAGTCTTGAAGGTGTAATATCCTTGGCTACATGACAAATTTGAGTCAGCCTGTGCTACGTGAGACCCTAGCTAGGAAGAAAGAAATGGGGGAAGGGAAGAAGAGATGGGGGGAGGAGGAGGGAAAGAGAGGACAAACACTTGTATCCAGGATTCTGATGGCATTAAATTCTCCAAAGGAAAATAAATCATCTGGCTATCTCATGTGTTTACATTGGGAAAAGGTTGTTTTATATAATTCTTATGCCATCAACTATAGTGTGATGGAAAGTGACCACGCCATTAGGGTGACAGGCATCTCATGCCACCCTACCACCATAGAATTCCCTCAAAAAAATTAAACAAGAACCCAGCTAGTGACTCCTTCCTTCACAGCCATGCCAAGGGTTCCTGGTGAGCTAAGAAAGAGCCCCTAGAACATGCTCACCTCATATGTCTCTTCAAGTTCAATGCTCACGTCACCATCACTGCTGGGAAAAGGTGTTATGACCCTAACTAACAGGTTACAAAAACAAGACACTGGGAACTACTGCATATCTTCAGGCCTAAAGTCTCTTTGCTAAGAATTATAATAGGCTTTCATTGGAAGCATACACTATCCCCTGACACCACACACATAAAGACATGGGGACTGCATATAGAGTGATTCTTAAGTCAGTCACAAAGCATTTAATAGTGGCATGAACTATGCAGGCTCTCCAGACACATCCATTAAAATGCCAGATGGCAGAAGACAACGGATAAGCCACTCTTCATTGATTCCTATGTACCCCAGAGAAGGGTGGGGGTGTTTACTCACATTCATACGGATTTCTGTGATTCATATCGAAAGCAAACCACTCAAACTTTGTCTGAGGAAGAAAATCTCTACAGGTACCAAATGTGATTATGAACACAGAGACACTGGTTTTCAGAAGTACCGGTTTATGGTCTGTCTATTTTTGCATTAGTGGGTAACCACAGCAGTGGTATCAAATGCAAACCATAGATTTGAAGGCTTAACAAAGCCTGTGATCTAACCTACAGTTCGAGACTTTGGCACATGTCAAAAACCTATGCAGCCCAAGCAATGACACATTTTAATGCATCCAGTCTGGTTTAGTAATCACCTTTGATTCTGGAAACAAGCAAAGTCCAAACCCAACTTTCTTTTCCCATAAAAATATGCACAGTCAGCCCCCCACTTCCTCTGAGAAAGAATTCATAGCACCAGACAAGAGTATTTGAATGAATCCAACCAACTGGACTGTAATTTCCAAGAAAACACAAGAGCATAAACCACCAGAAAGCATAATATTACAAATTTACCCCTTCCTCTCTCTGCCATCTCCCCACGCTTCTGAATCTTCAGCACGGTGCTTCCTCCTCTCTTCAAAGGTTGGTTACTGGCTAGATTGTAGTGAGGCTCTACCATCACACACACACACACACACACACACACACACACACACACACACACACAC